TAATTATTGGAAGTAATAATTGTGCTTGGGTGGAAAGGTGGCAGAAGGCAAAGATACCTTGGTAAGAACATAGGACCAAATGCTGGATTAGCATCAGGGGAGGGCCTGACCCACGAAGTCACAGAATCTGAAAAGACAGCTCTTTTCCTATGTTTCCAAAGCCTTCAAAATAAGCGTATGTACATTAGATAGAGTAATTTCACTAATAGGAATCTAGCCTAAAGAAATGCTCAGAAACACAGGCTGGGATATAAACCAAAGATGTTTGTCATCATTATTTGTAATTGAGAAAGACTGGAAACAACCTAAATGTTGCTTCCAACAGTTAGAAATAGGCAAATGACGTCATGAAACACCACGTAGTATTACGCAGCCGTTCAACACGTCGATGAATAATTTTTAACGATGTTAGGAAAGGAGTCTGATCAAGTGTAACAGAAAAAAGCAAGACTGATTTCAATATGAACTGTGTTCTCAGCAACGTAAGGTACTGATAGGTAGGAAAAAGGAAAACAAAAAACAAGGAGCGCGCTAAATGTTGCCACCTGTTATTTCTGCTTGGTGGAATTCTGGCTGTGAGGCCAGTGACCCAGGGAGGCTGGGTTCTTTTGCTTACTGGGTTGCCGTTTCCTGGGATGATGCTAACATGTTGGGTTGTTTTTTGATATTTGCGTTGCTTTAAGGAAGGATCAGAGAACTGAAGTATTAAAACAAAATTTAGGAGAAAACCATAGCTAACGAGTGCTGAGATTTACTGCTATAGTTGTTGCTTTTGAAATTTCCTTTAAAGGTGGTGAGAATGGAAATGAAGATAACAAAACATAGTTTCTCTGCTTCCTTGCTATAAATTTAGCTATTTCCGATAAGTTAAACAAAACATCTTTGCTGGGCCTTGTGCTAACGCTGTATTCAGCGGAACCTCCTCGGCCATTTCCATACTGTATGGGCTGAATTGTGTCCCCCCCTCCTCCAAATTCATGTACTGAAGCCCTAACCCCCAAAATTTCAGAATGTGACTGTATTTGGAGATAGGGCCTTTAAAGAGGTAATTTAGGCAAAATTGGGAAATATGGATGGGCCCTAATCCAATACAACTGGTGTCCTTATAAGAAGAGGAGATTAGGACTCAGACACCTATAGATTGAATGTTTGTGTCCCCCCAAAATTCATATGCTAAATCCTAGCCCCCAATGAGATGGTATTTGGAGGTGGGGTCTTTGGGGGTGATTAGGTCATGAGGGTGGAGCCCTCATGAATGGATTAGTGCCCTTATAATAAAAGAGACCCCAGAGAGCTCCATCACCCCTTCTACCATGTGAGGACACAAGGGAAATGGCTGTCTATGAACCAGGAAGTGGGCCGCACCAGACACCAAATCTATCCTCATCTTGATCTTGGACTTCCAGCCTCCAGAACTGTGAGCAATGCATTTCTGCTATATACAAACCACCTAGTTTGTGGTATTTTGTTACAGCAGCCCAAACAGACTAAGACAGACTCATACAGATGGAAGACGATGTGAGGACGCAGAGAGAAGGCAGCTGTCTACAAGCCAAGGAGAGAGGCCTCTGCAGTAACTGACCCTGCCCACACCTTGAACTTGGACTTCCAGCCTCCAGAACTGTGAGAAAATAAATTTCTATTGTTTAAGCCCCTCAGTCTGTGGTATATTGTTATGGCAGCTCTAGCAGACGATTACACATACATATATATTTAAATGTGTTTATGTCAAGTGTTGAGGATCCCAAACACCTCAAGACAGCAATAGTTATGGAGCAGTTAGCATTAGGAAGATGGGTGTGTGCTGGGGTGGTGCGTGGAGATGAGTATGTGCTTAAAACTTGTATTGGGTTGGCCAAAATTTCATCTTTAACATCTATGGAAAAACCCAAACAAACATTTTGGCCAACCCAATATTTAGTAATGAAGGAAGAAGGTGCTGATTTTTTAAAAACTGGAACTTAAAGTAAGTTGCCCTCCTCAAAGTTGGGACCAGAGAAAGGAACCCTGTTTCATTCTCTTTCTGTTGGTGTGAATGTCACTAGGGCAGGGCCCCCTAACCAGGAGGAGCCTTGGCCGTGCTCACCCAGAACATCTGACCCAGGTCGCATAGCTGAGGTCAGAGTCCTTCCCACCTCAGAAAGGGCCCTGAGGGGCTTCCCTGGTGGCGCAGTGGTTAAGAACCCGCCTGCCAATGCAGGGGACACGGGTTTGAGCCCTGGTCCGGGAAGATCCCACATGCCACGGAGCGGCTGGGCCCGTGAGCCAAAACTACTGAGCCTGCACTCTAGAGCCTGCGAGCCACAGCTACTGACTAGAGCCCATGTTCCGCAACGAGAAGCCACCGCAATGAGAAGCCCACACAATGAGAAGCCCACGCACCGCAACGAAGAGTAGCCCCCTCTCGCTGCAACTAGAGAAAGCCCAGGTACGGCAATGAAGGCCCAACGCAGCCAAAAATAAATAAACAAAAACAAGTAAATTTAAAAAGGGGGGTGCTGAGAGGTAAGGAATACTTCAAAGGCAATGGCGATGGGTCAACTTAAATTCCACCTGGAAGGGAGGTTTAGGAAGCGGGGTGCCTGCTCACTGCTCTGGGGCCTGGGCCTCCCTGCATCTAAAGGATGCATTCAGATCTGGGGATTCTGCCTCGAGATCAATCTAAGGTCGCTCACCCTCTTCCAACCGCCCAGGACTTGAGCCAGAAGGACACTTTGCATCCTTGTTGTCTGGCCCTTCCTGCTTTCTGTCCACTTCAGTGACCCAGGCCTGCCCAGCGCCGACACTGGCCCCTGGGTTCCTGACAGTCTGGGATGTGTTTCTGAGTGAGGGAATTCAGATCTCTAGAGGGAATCCCCACGAGTGGTTTGCACCTTCCCTCTGTCAGCCAGCTCTAACTTTGCTTCATAAATAAGAACTTCTGTATACCGTGGTCCAGCCACCGTGTTTTCCCCAGCTGCAGGCCTGGAGTTTCCATGGCTTTGGCACTGCTTCTGCTTGAGAGGTTTAATTGATAACATAATGAAGCAACTTAAATACAGCCCAGTAACTGCCTCTCTCCAAAGCCAAGGAACTGCACATCTCCTCCCCAAGACTACCTGTCCTGGGATTGGGGCCCTGACCTGGCCTCCTGAGTTGGCTGAGTCCACACTGTATCCTCCTAAGGACCAGGAAAGGGGCCATGGGTGATCCCGGCCTTTTCACATGCAGCAGGAGACCCTCTGGTATGTGTTTCCTGGGCATGTCTCTGGTCATAGAACAGTTTCCTCAGAGATGATACAGTGATCATCCCTGGATGGTTTCTCTTCACTTCTGCAGTGCCAGGCTCCGTGCTGGGAAGTGATGTTGGAATACGGTGAAAGGCCAGGACCTAGCTGCTTGTGGGCTGTAAATTCAGCCTTTCATTTTAAAAATTAGTGTTTTGTTGTGAAACGTGTATTCTTATAGCTTATGACATAATCTCTGTTGGCAGGTAGTACAGTATGTTAAAAAAAATAAAAATAAAAAATAAAGCTTAGGCTCTGGAACCAGACCGCTTGAGTCTAAATCCTACCCCAGCCAGTGAGAAGCTGTGTGAGCTTTGGTTTGTTCCTTAACATCTCTGGTCGCTAGTTTCCATGTTTGTAAAATGGGGTAGATAATGTCAGACCTACCTTAAAGACTGTTGTGAAGGGTTATATGAGTTTTAAACAAGGAAAGAACTTAGATCAGTGCTGGGCATAGAGAAAGCATTCAGTAAATAATAATAAGTTCTTTTTTATTGTGGTAAAATGTACATAACATAAAATGTACTATTTTAATCATTTCTAAGTGCACAGTTCAGTGGCACTAAGGGCATCCACGTCGTGCAGCCATCACCACCATCCACCTCCGGAGCTCCTTCATCTTGCAAAACTGAAACTGCACCCATTAAGCGGTAACTCCCCATCTCCCTCGTCTCCCAGCCCTTGATAACCACCATTCGTTCTATGAATTTGACTGTTCTAGGTTCCTCATATAATTGGAATCACACAGTATTGTCCTTTTGTGACTGGTTTCTTTTACTTAGCGTCATGACCTCAAGATTCATCCATGTTGTAGCCTGTGTCAGAATTTCCTTCCTTTTTAAGGCTGAATAATATCACTTCTACGTCTACACCACGTTCTGTTTATTATTCGTCTATAAATGGACATATGAGTTGTTTCCACGTTTCCGCTACTGTGAATAATGCTGCTATGAACATGGGTGTACAAATAGCTGTTGGGGTCCCTGCTTTCACTTCTTTTGGGTACATACCCAGAAGTGGAATTGCTGGATTCTATGGTAATTCTATGCTTAATGGTTTTAGGACCAATCCTACTGTTTTTCACAACAGCTGCACCATCATTCTCATGGTTTTAAACACTATCTACAGGCTGATGAATTCCAGCTTTATATCTATAACTTCATACTTTTCCTGAGCTGTAGGTAGACTACACATTTGCCCACTTGGTCTTTTCAATTAGATGTCTCACAGGCATCTCGAGATTAAACACGTCCCAAATTGCACTTCTTACCCCACCCTACTCTTCCGCATTTTGGTAAGTGACACTAATTAAAAATCTGGCTGCTCAAAATGGAAACCTTTAAGCGGGACCAGCTACATAATTTGCCAGACCTGGTGCTAAATGAAGATGGAGGGAAGCCAAATCCCCCTTCTTACAGTTCTGTGCCCCAGCCCCCAATGGACCGGCCGCCCTGGGGGATCGCAGCCTCCGTGCTGGGATGTGCCCAGTACCTGGAACCATGGTGGCCGAAGCCACCCTGAGGTCCCCGGCAACCCTGCGTGGGGACGGCTGTTGGCACTGACTACACTGATACACTGAAGCTGGCCGTGAATCCTTCAATGAATCCTTTTTTTTTAAATATCTTTATTGGAGTATAATCGCTTTACAATGGTGTGTTAAGTTTCTGCTTTGTAACAAAGTGAATCAGCTATACATATACATATCCCTCCCTATCCCACCCCTCTAGGTGGACACAAAGCCCTGAGCTGATCTCCCTGTGCTATGCGGGTTGTTGTTTCTTAAAGGTAACTTGGTGATATTTTATTTATTTATTTTTATACATTTCTTTATTATATTTATTTATTTTTGGCTGCATTGGGTCTTCGTTGCTGCACGCGGGCTTTCTCTAGTGGAGGCGAGCAGGGGCTACTCTTCGTTGTAGTGTGCGGGCTTCTCATTACGGTGGCTTCTCTTGTTGCGGAGCACGGGCTCTAGGCACGCGGGCTCAGTAGTTGGGGCACGTGGGCTCAGTAGTTGGGGCTCGTGGGCTCTAGAGCGCAGGCTCAGTAGTTGGGGCTCACGGGCTTAGTTGCTCCGCAGCATGTGGGATCTACCCGGACCAGGGCTCGAACCCGTGTCCCCTGCATTGGCAGGAGGATTCTTAACCACTTTGCCACCAGGGAAGTCCCTGCCCTGTGCCACATCTTCTTTATCCATTCATCTGCCGATGGACACTTAGGTTGCTTCCATGTCTCGGCTATTGTAAATAGAGCTGCAATGAACATTGTGGTACATGACTCTTTTTGAATTCTGGTTTTCTCAGGGTATATGCCCAGCAGTGGGATCGCTGGATCATATGGTAGTTCTATTTTTAGTTTTTTGAGGAACCTCCATACTGTTCTCCACAGTGGCTGTATCAATTCACATTCCCACCAACAGTGCAAGAGGGTTCCCTTTTCTCCACACCCTCTCCAGGATTTATTGCTTGTAGATTTTTTTATGATGGCCGTTCTAACTGGTGTGAGGTGATACCTCACTTCAATGAATTCTTGATTCCTTTTTTCTCCTCACCCTCCAAGTTCACTTTGTCAGCAAGAGCTATGAGTTCCGCCTCTAAAATCAGTCTCAGCTCTTTACTTCTCTATCTCTCCTTCCATGATGAGCACCCAAGCCGCCATCCCCTCTCTCAACCAATAAAAATCACCCACCTGGTCTCCTTCACTCACCCTTGCCCCTTCTCCCACATTCCACACAAGAGCCAGAGTAACTGTTTCCAAAAATAAACGAGTCCATGTTTACTGCCCGGTTTTAAAACCACAAAGGCGGGTGGTTTCATAGCCCTGCCCTCTCTTCTTTTCTTCTCCAGGTGTGGTGTCCTGCTTTCTACACCATGAAGATGCCAAGCCTGTAATAGCCTAAGGGCAGGGTTTCTCCACCCGGCGCCTCTGATATTTTGGATAATCCTTTGCATGGGGGTTTGTCCCCTGCGCTGTAGTTCAGCAGCATCCCTGACAGACCTCTAACCCCTAGATGCCAGTGGCACTGCCCCTCCACCACCTTGTGAGGACAGTATGTCCCCGGACATTAGCAAATGTTCCCCAGGGGCCACCCCCTCCCTATTCCTCAGAACCTTCCTTGGAGCCTTAGAGCCCTGGCTCTCCCTCTGGCTGGACCGTAGCCTCCACACACCTTCCTCCACCTTCACACTTGCAGCATCTTCTTGTCCTTCGGAGAGCAATTTAAATGTCACTTTCCCTGATCAACCAATACTGTACAGAGCAGTCTCTCACTCCCACTCTGTTTTAAATTGCTGTCTAAATACTCGCCGGTCTCTGGTATCTCTTTTGTTTAATTATTTATTGACATTCTGTTCCCACCTCCAGCCCCTACCAGGATGCAGGCTCCTTGAGGGTGGCCATGTCCATCATTTCACTGACACCTGGAATGGAACCCGGCACATAGTAGGTGCTTAGTACATCTTTGCTGAAGGAACGAATTCACAACGCTTTGATTTTGTTTTATTTTTTTAAATTGAAGCATAGTTGATTTACAATGTTGTGTTAGTTTCAGGTGTACAGCAAAATGATTCAGTTACACACACACACACACACACACATATATATATATAAATATATATCTATACTTTTTCATGTCCTTTTCCATTATGGTTTATTACAGGATACTGAATATAGTTCCCTGTGCTGTACAGTAGGGCCTTATTGTTTACCTGTTTTATATATAGTAGTATATATTTGCTAATCCCAAACCCTGATTTATCCTCCCCCCGCTTTCCCCTTTGGTAACCATAAGTTTGTTTTCTATGTCTGTGAGTCTGTTTTTGTTTTGTAAGTAAGTTCATTTGTGTCATAGTTTAGATTCCGCATATAAGTGGTGTCATATGATAATCTCTAGGTCCATCCATGTTGCTGCAAATGGCATGATTTCATTCTTTTTATGGCTGAGTAATATTCCATTGTATATATGTACCACATCTTCTTTACCCATTCCTCTGTCGATGGACGTTTAGGATGTTTCCATGACCTGGCTATTGTAAACAATACTGCTATGAACATTGGGGCGCATGTATCTTTTCGAATTAGAGTTTTGTCTGGATATATGCCCAGGAGTGGGATAGCTGGATCGTATGGCAACTCTATTTTTAGTTTTTTAAGGAACCTCCATACTGTTCTCCATAGTGGCTGCACCAATTTACATTCCCAACAACAGTGCTGGAGGGTTCCCTTTTCTCCACATTCTCTCCAGCATTTATTATTTTTAATGATGACTATTCTGACCAGTGTGAAGTGATACCTCATTGTGGTTTTGATTTGAGTTTCTCTAATAACTAGCAATATTGAGCATCTTTTCATGTGCCTATTGGCCATCTGTATGCCTTCTTTGGAGAAATGTCTACCTAGGTCTTCTGCCCATTTTTCGATTGTGTTGTTTGTTTTTTTCTTATTGAGTTGTATGAGCTGTTTGTATATTTTGGAAATTAAGCCCTCATGAATTCACAACACTTTGAAACCCGTGTTTCTTTCTGTGTACTTGTCAGGCCGTTTTCATTTCTTTCCAATTCTTTCTCTTCTTTCCTTTTTATAGCCTCTACTTTCCCTTTAGGGTCCCCATTTGTGCTCTATTGTCTTTTTTTCCTTCTCTTCCTCTTAGCACAGGTGATAGTTCCCACATTAATTTGATTCAACATCTTTCATAACAGAAACACAGGCCAGTCAAACATGACACAGATAAAGTCTCAGTGAAGTTGAACTAAGCAACAGGATCTCATGGTCAATGTCATTGGACTTCACATAGCAGGAGGGTCTCCCGGACACAGAAGATCCCAGGAATTGCCTGGAACTAGAGAGGACAGCCCTGGGGGGAGTCCCAGGGGCCGCTTGCTCAGTCTCTTGTCCTTCCTTCACTTTGAGTGTTGACTTCACCCTTCCCTCTTGTTATAGCCCAGATCCCTGTGCCTTTTGTTCATCTGGTGAGAAACATTATTGCCATCAATACTTCCATAGGCTTTATTGAAGAAACCAGGCAGATTGAGCTAACCTGTCTTCATCCCAAACTCAAACAAACCACTGGGGAAAGAATTCCTTGGCTCAACTTGGGAACGAGACTTTGTTGAGTGTCTCCATATGCCAGGCACCTCTGGGTGATGAGGATACAGTGGAGAACACAACAGACACAATTCTTTTTTTTTTTAAATTAATTAATTTATTTTTGGCTGCATGGGGTCTTTGTTGCTGCCCGCGGGCTTTCTCTAGTTGAAGCGAGCAGGGGATACTTTTCGTTGTGGTGCGCGGGCTTCTCATTGCGGTGGCTTCTCTTTGTTGCAGAACACAGGCTCTAGGCACGTGGGCTTCAGTAGTTGTGGCACGTGGGCTCAGTAGTTGTGGCTCATAGGCTCTAGAGCACAGGCTCAGTAGTTGTGGCGCACGGGCTTAGTTGCTCCGCGGCATGTGAGATCTTCCCAAACCGGGGCATGAACCCGTGTCCCCTGCATCGGCAGGCGGACTCTCAACCACTGCGCCACCAGGGAAGCCCAGCAGGTGGGTTCTTAAACACTGCGCCACCAGGGAAGTCCCAACAGACACAATTCTGATGTCATGGAACCAACATTCTCTGACACTGCACTTGCCATATGTTTATTACTAAATGCCTATCAAGAACCAGGCTCTAACCTTATACCAAGGATACAGTGGGAAAAACACACAAGCATAATTGCATATGGTGATAGGTTAATTCATTTAGTCAATAGTCTGCATTTCTATATGAACCTACAGCAGGGGGGACTTGATTTGGTTTGAGAAACTGGGGAAAATTTTTTTTAATGTGATTTAAATGAACCGTATTTTTTTACAACAGTTCAAGATTTGCAGAGAGATCGTGAATGTAGTTCAGAGAGTTCCCATCTATCCCAAACCCGTTTTCTCCCATTATGAACATCTTATATTACTGTAGCACATTTGTCACCAGTAATGAGCCTATACTGATACATTATTATTAACAGAAGTCCATACTTTTTTCAGATTTCCTTAGTTTGTACCTGATGTTCTTTTTCGTTCTAGGATCCCACATTGTAATCATCGTGTCTACTTAGGCTCCTCTTGGCTGTGACAGTGTCTTGGATTTTTATTGTTTTTGATGACCTTGACAGTTTTGAGGACAGCTAGTTAGGTATATTGTAGGATGCACCTGTACTGGAGTTTTCCTCATAATTAGACTGGGGTTATGGTTTCTGGGAGGAAGACCACAGAGATAAAGTGCCGTTTCCATCATGTCATATCAAGGGTACATCCTGTCCACATGACGTCACTGTTGATGTTGACCTTGACCATCGGGCTGACATAGTTTGCATCGGGTTTCTCCAATGTGAAGGTCTTTCCCTCCCCCTTTACATACTGTAAAGCAGCTGCATTTTAGGGGGGAGGGTTGGTATGCTCCACCTCCTTGAAAATGTGTTTTGTTTTTCACGGCTTTACTGACGTACTGTTTACATGCCACAGAATTCACCCATTTTAAGTGAACAGTTTGACACGTTTTACTAAATTGATATAGTTGTGCCTGAGGAAAATGGTCTTGGAGCTGACAGCCAAAGGATGAGGAGGATTTAAATAGGCCAAGACGGGGCTTCCCTGGTGGTTCAGTGGTTGGGAGTCTGCCTGCCGATGCAGGGGACATGGGTTCGTGCCCCGGTCTGGGAAGATCCCACATGCCGCGGAGTGGCTGGGCCCGTGAGCCATGGCCGCTGAGCCTGCGCGTCCGGAGCCTGTGCTCCGCAACGGGAGAGGCCACAACA